ATTCATTTGTGCAAGTAACTCTTATGCTATTTAAATATTAGGCCGGGCTATAATTTACATTGTTAGCTAATTAATAAGTACAGGCTAAATAGATGACATGTTTTAAAGGTTTTTCGAAAATGTTTTCAGAAATAAAATTTGCTTATCTCTTCAATCTAATAAGCATTGTGCTGGAACATCATTCCTGATCGGCAGGCAAAGCCAAATATTTGATGACCACTATATTTAATCGTATTTTAGAGGAATTACTATACGAGCGGGGTAACTCAAACCTTATTCCATCAGCAACTCGGATTAGTTTAACTTTTTGATTTTCCGCGCCTTGTTTTTTATCTTCTGGCTTACCATAACGATCATCAAAACGTTTTCTTTTATTTTGAAAGTCTTTTCTGCCGTTGAATCTTCGCCTGTTTTCCATTATCGGCCTACGAAACTGTCCGTTCGATCTCTGGTCGTAATCCATTGTACACATACTTTCTCCCACCCTCCTGCTTTCAAATTTGACTGTCAGCTCAAACAACTCTTCCAGAGCATTGGAGTTTCTTAGTTCAATGAAATCTTGTACTTGCTGTAATATTCGGGACAAAATTATTTGAATAACTTCGTTATTGGGCCTTTTCCCTTACAATAAATGAATAATTTGAATTTTTCTCAAATTCGGTCAACTCCTTGACCTTACTTTGATACTTGCTGAATAATTCAGCTTCGTTCTGCCTTTGACCACGTGGAATGCTTTTACAAGGAATGTTTTAAATGTTTCAGATGTGTACGTCTCACTGCCTATTTTTGTTAATCAAATTTATCGGTTCTTTCGTGCCAGCTCAAAGCCTGTCCTCTTAAGGCTGTGTTCGCAATTGTTACTTTTTGATATTTCGGGACTAGGAACAGTAAAAAGTGGCTGTCCAGCTGTTCCAAAAAACTGGTTACCGATGGTCTACCGTCAAATGTCACTGTGGGTTTAATGGTGGCCCGCATTGTATCCATTAGGGAAGGAAAAAAAAAACCTTCCATAGAGTTTGCTGGAGCGGATGGGGTCTGCCACGTTGGTGGACCAAACGGAAAGGTGGCTTCTTCCTGGGCATTGGTTCGTAATTATTTCGGGCGCCGGTGAACCGTCTAGTTTTTTGGGGTAGCATAAACTGCTACTAGGCTTTAGTAGAAACAACAACGCGCGCACTCAATAGCAAAACATGCTCTGACTAACATTATCGTTATTTCAACTTATATAAACTCTCGTTCACCCTACATCATTTACATCTCGGCAAGGAAACTCGAGAGAAACAAGAAATGACAGAAAAGGCTAATAAATTAAAGTAATTATTAGAAAAAATAATATAAATCTTAAAAAAGTATTTGATTTCTAAATCTTAATGCTACTGTTCTTTGAATTATTTTTTTTGGGTTTATTTAAGCACGTGCGTGATGATATTATGTGCAAGAAACACATGACAGGGATTAATTTTGAGGTAAATCAGTTCAGAGATATGTATTATAAGCATGTTACTATTTTTAGGATAGGAAAGAGGGGGAAAAAAGCAGATTAAACTTCAGATTATAAATTAAATTTATAGTTTTATTTTGTATATTCCTTATCTTGCATATGCGTAATTAATTGCAGTCGATATTAATATAACATTTCAGTTTATAACTTCTGATTTTAAGAACATCACATTAATTCAGCGTTAATTAGAACAGCAGGAATGAGGAGCTAATTAAGTTAAGTACATCATAAGTTCACAGAAACAAACAGAATTATTTATGCAAATTAACGATGCTTGCATGAAGTAGAAAGTTTTAAATTTCAATTCGCAAGATTGTTAGTAATATTTAACTAAGTTACATAGTCTCCACAATATGATGTTTTGTATTTGTTCATATGAATAATAGTTATTAATTAAAAATATATTTGATTGTATTTTTGTTTTTGTATGATGTTATAATTTTATGGTGCTGCCCAGATGGTATAGTGGTTAGGGAAGCCTCACTGCGATACCAAAGGGCCTGGTTTCGAATCCTGGAGAAGGCATGGTTGTAACTGTCCGTCTCTTCATAGGAGGCGATGGTGGCCCACCTCTTAGGTGCCTCCATAATAAAGAGACCATCACGTCTGGCCTTGTATAGATAAATGAACTGTGTTATACTGTAACTGTTCACAATCTGCCATTGGAAAAAAAAATAATACTATGGTGTATTTTTCTTTTTACTTATTTATTTGTTGCCTTTTATGCAATAATTTTAGTGAGTATTTTTTGCGCAATCGAATTTAGCGACATACTGTACTTGTAAGTGTTTATTTCTCGTACAGAATTGTAGATATTAGGATTCTGAATGCATAAATATTTAAACAGAGATATAGGTAGATCTCATGACGGGCGTCCTGATACTTTCTTGTAGCCATACTGCACGGACATCCTGATACTTTCTTGTAGCCATTACTGCGCGGACAATCTCGCTTTCACTTGCAGAAGAGTGCTTCTTTTTAAGTTGCTTTGCACTGAGTGCGCTAACTCCTGCCGTTTTGCGTACCCAAATATGACCTCTGACATGTCATAGTGCTGATATTTGCACATGCATCACCTTTCTAGCTTTTCAATGTACCGATCGCAAAAAGCCCTTTTCAACAATTTCATATTTGCACTAAGCTTGCTGATTCCTCTCGTTTTGCGTGCCCTAAGATTCCCTCTGACGTGTCATGGTACTGATATTTGCATATGCATCACCTTTCTACTGAGCTGACTTCTCACTGTGCAAATCGCAAAAAGGTCTTTTTAACAATTTCATATTCGTATGCTGAAAAATGAATTTTTTGTTTAAGTTTTGCACACTGTAGATAGAAATAATGTATTCTGTAGATCATATCTATTTAAAATGTTAAAATTCACCTGCACAATCTACTTTACCTTCGTTTTAACATTAAAATTAATTTTTAATGTTTCACAGCATATTTTGCTTTTCACCCGTTCAGGAAATATTCTTTGTTTGCTTTGATTCAGACGACGTTGATCACATTTTTCTGCAATGAGAAGGAAAAGCGAATTCACTTCCTCCTGTTCTATGCTTATAGCATTTACACAACCAAAATTAATTAACCAATCAAATTAAGATTTGAGAATATAGATAAAGGAATTAAATATGTAAATTGTAACGCCAGTAGATATCTATTGATATACGTTTGTGTACAATTTCTTTGAAATTGCAAGGAAAATTCTTTACAAATCTTAAATGCTTATAGTATTTTAGCGTATTTGATACAGTTATTTTTTTCTCTACGGTTACAGTTACATACATATACTTAAGTGAGCTGAATATTACAAACGCAAGGAGAAAGTTTTAAATTTTGGTCAAATTTTACCAGTTTGAAAGTATAAAATTGGCAATTAATTTACAAATTTTAAATTTCAACTAATGTAATATTTGTTTTTTTAGAAATTTCCACTAATTTCTTCAAAATTTAAAATAATTAGTCTTACTTTTAAGTGTTTCTCTTTGATGTATCAGCAAACAGGGTACCATTATAATCTGAATGATGGATGCTAAATCAACACGTTTTTCTACATTTCTCTACAAAAATACTAAAATATATTTCTAATTCGTTTATAAAATAATTAAAACAGTATCTGAAGAAAAATGAAATCGCTAAAAACGTAACATCAGCTCAGAGCTATGTAATAGGACTATGGTGATTAAATGTCTCTAACATAGTTCAAAAATCAATTAAAATTTTTATTCTTGCAATGTGGTTAAAATGTTACATTCCAAGAGCTGTTACCAAAATTAAATTTTAAAAGGTCGCAAAAAATCTCAAAAAGATGAACGTTTTTATTTTTAAAAAATTAGAAGATTTTTTACGATTCTAATTATTATATAGCGTATTATGCTTTACTTCCTTTGATATTTTCCTACTTCTTGTAAACTGGAGACAATACTTTGTCTTATCTGTTTTTTTGTTTTGTTTGTTTGTTTATTTGTTTTTAATATACTTTGCAATCTTCTGCCTAGGGACCTTGGGAAAGCTAAATATTAAATTTAGCCTGTATTTGAAAGGTAATAAGAAGGAGGGTTACAAGAATGACTTGATTATTTGATATTTTTGCACTCAGCTTGCATACATTCACACAAATAGCGACAGCGAGCAGTTTTGATTTCACGGATAAGAATCCAATCATATAATTTTCTAAAGTGGTAAGTAAATGAAAGTTTTGTTAATGTTTTATTCTGGCAACAGCCAGAATATCTGTCTTCATGAATTGAATATTTAACAAACTCAGATATCAATAAGTAAGCTGTTTTTATTGTTCAATCAATAAACCCATATAACTGTTTCTTGTATTTGGAAAAGGCCGAAATTTCAATTTTGTTTAGAGTTTCCTTTCTTTACATTCTCTCCGAGATTTCCTCACTTAGTGTGCTTAGTAGTTGAAATTTGAACTGAATAATTATTGACATCTATTAAGAAGTAATGTAGTCGAAACAAATATACCATGCTGTTCCATATGAAATGATAAAATTTTACATTTAAAATTTTTAATTATGTAGAGAAAGTGAACTTAGACATTAGTATTTCTAAAATGAAGTATTCCTTTCTTAATTTTAACAGTTACACAAATTTATGCTTCTCGAACTATTCCAGAAAAATGCAGAAAACTTGTTTCCATTATATACTCAAGAACTTTAATTGTTGAAAAAATTCATCGTATTTCAATATTGTGTTTCAAAATTATATTGTATTTGTTATCTTAATAATACACGATGAATTCATGATATTTCTTAGTGTTAAATAAATGATATTGTTTAATAATAATTTTAAATGAATTTATTTTACTTACGTCATTATGTACTTCAGTTTTAATTATTTTGTAAATATGATACATTACGTATAATTTCCGTTTATAAATTTATGAAAACATGGGTTTTGAACTGAGATAAATTTATGAAATATGTTCGATTTATGAAACCAAGTTTGTTGTGAAGAAAATATACAAAGTTCCTTTCTTATCAAGTTTTATCACACAGCATTTTATTTTTCTGCGTTATGATGAACAGTGCACTGAGTGTTTCATAAATAATTAACTTTAGGCTTTCAGCTTATTTTTACATTAGAATTTCAAATACATACTTAACACGTATTGGAAGCGTTAGAATATAGTTTGTTTATATAGAAATCAATAAACTAGTAGAATTGTGTTTCATAAAATTCAAAAGTCAATACTTAAAAGTAAATATTGTTTTTATTGGTAGAAAAATAATCTGAAGTCACCGTAAATACTTCGCCATTTAGTCCAATGACTGCTTTCACCTTAGTCTTCTCACATGCCTCTCCCATTTCCTTGATTTCCCCAAGATCTTTGGGATCCATCTCCTTGACCCATTCCTCCTTGATCGTTACTTCCTTGCCGTCCTCCTCTTTGGCCTTGATTTCCACGTCCACCTCCTTGTCCCATTCCTCCTTGATTGCCAAATCCTTGTCCTCCACGTCCACTTCCTTGGTCATTTCTACCTTGTTCTCCACTTCCACGTCCATTACTATCGTTACCGCGACCTCCATTTTGTCCACCTCCGCGACCACCAGACTGACTACCTCCACGACCACCAGACTGGCTACCTCCACGAGTTCCAGACTGGCCATTTCCTCCTTGATCATAACCTCCGCTATCTCCCCAGCTGCGTTCTACTCTTGAAGGGCCTCCAAAATCATCTCTAGGCGGGGGTGGTGGTGGTCCCCGATGGTCGTGGTCGTTAAATTGGCTTTTGACATTTGGTAACAATATGAGACAGAAAGCTCCTACAGTTAGCGCAATAAACTGAGAAAAGAAAGAAGAAAATAAATTAATAGCAATCTATGAACTTTTGGTATCCATATTTAATGCAAAACACGCTAAGTTTCAAAAACAGTCAAAATCATTCAATACAAAGATTCCGAAAATTTCCTTTTTTCACAATATATTGTTAGAAATCTGTCCAAAAGGATATGACCACTAGAAGCCCTCTGCTTTGAAATGTATATAAAGACGTAGATTGTGAAAATTTTACTAACTTTTCATTGTAAAAATACAATCAAACAGTGACTCATAAGGTACATAATGCTTCACTTATATCAAAAATTCTTTCGGCCTTATAAATAATCTTTGAAAACCCAATACCACCTTCCTAACCTGATTGAACATCAAAATCTTTCTATTTTTCAGAAATTCTTATAATTTTTCATAATTTAAAAATATATTCGAGTGATACATTTTTGATAATGTGGTGAATATGGTTATTATTTTCAAGTATTGATGACATAATTTGAGAAGAAAAAGGATCATTTAAACAAGGATAGAAATACTCGTATATTTGTTTTGAAGAGTATGTGAGAGTAAGTTAAGAATAGGAAGATTTAAATCTCTAATATTTAATTTATTTTTAATAATAGTGTTTTCTACAGAAGGACCTGGGACCACATTGATGTTATTCGTTCCGAAATTGCTAAGTAATTAGACTGTCACTGAGTAGAAACTTCCTGTTCCTCATGTAATTAAATAGAAATTCTGACAGAATTTGACAAAAATTATCAAGTTAATCTCTTCCAAAGCCTCAATAACGCATTAATACTGTAATTATAAAACACAGCAAATAAATGAGCGAACTGAGAAATGAAATTTATATTTTATGTATAAGTAGATCGGTAATTAATCCAGAGCACCAGTGCTTTAATGTGGGATCAATGCAAACTGCCTTGCAACTGCAATGTTTTGTATATAGAGTGTATTACTTCTAAAGCATTAGTGCTAGTACAGATTTGTGACAAAAGATAAGTTACATATGTGTAACTCTAGTATTTGTGACGACAAATGCTATTGAGGACATATTCTGTTTATTATTTGCCTGGAGCTTAGAAATAACTTGCAAAATAGATGCCAATTTATGAATAATACGTAGACGGAATGCCTGAAAGAAAAAATATTGTATAAGGTAGAATTTCATGTAGCATGGAGAAACCTTCGTTCGAAGTGATATAAATTTGTACCTATTTTTTTTTACCTTACTTATTTATATACTTATTAATTATATTATGCTGCTTTTTTCTAGGATCTTTCCCATTTATGAGGGAAGTTTTGTAAAGTAAAGAATATCCTAAAGTTTTCTTGCGATGCTGACGAGCGTGGAGGCTTTTGCTGATGGATATTTGAAGATATATCTGGTACCATTTTCTAATACCTTACAGGTGCAGGTGAAAAAAAGCTTCTGCAGATAAACACTACCTTTTTCGCTACCTTTTTCGTCTACGGTTTAACCATTCGAACAGATTTAAAATCTTTAATTCATCTTTCAAATTTCAGTTGATTTGCTAATAAAGGTGGGTGATTTAAAAGTGCTAAATTACTTCTTAATAACTTTTATTTTTAGCAGTTTTATAATAAACATAATTTTAAAAAAATATTTAATTTGTAATAAACTATGAAAATTTGCTTACAGCGTCTGAAAGTGATAAATTTATTTAGAGAAATGTCTTTGACTGCTGCTTTAAACTTTTAGTACATAGACTGAGATACTGACGCTTAGCACATAGAATCTCCTTCTAGTGGAGAGGTTAGGTTAGGTTAGGTTATTTAATTACGGCAAAGCCTCGGGGCTATCTGCCTAAGGGAGGGATGCCTTCGTGGAGGACTTTCTAAGGAAAACTTGCCCGTATACACGTTACACATGGGGAAAACCACGAAAACACCCATGCAGCCATGCCCGTTCGCGGGATTCGAACCTCGGACCGAACTACCAGTGTTCAGCGACTTCACCGCTCGGCCGCTAGTGGGCTTCTAGTGGAGAGAGAATCACTATTATTGACATTGCGCCTAGAAAATAACGTCTCTCTGTGGCAAAAGACATTCTACCATACAGACTATGAGAAGCGCAAGCCGATCGTGCTTGAACGCCCTGAAGATACTGATTTATCGTACACAATATGCATGCAATACACGCCGACAAATGAGAAGGCATTTGCTATTTATACAGATGGAATCTGAATTTCTCATAACTGTAGAATTATCGGCTCTACAAATTGCAAACGACTTCTGATTTTTATGTTGAATTCTCGAGTATTCGTGATTTATATATGTAACCACGAGTAACCGTAAGCACCCATATTCGGAATTGGCCAAGTGAAAGTGCAGTAAGGTAAGGCGATTCTAAATAAGTAAAAATTTAAAACATGGTGTGGATTTAATTGAACAACAGAGTTAAACTCAAATAATAATAAAATGTACATAAATCTGCAATTTTTTGCCTCGGAATTTTTTTTTTTTTTTTTTTTTTTTTTTCGAAAGCCATGCTGGCAATTTTGCTAAACTATGTGTTAAACACTGAGAAAGACAATCATGTCATTAAATTTAAATTTCATTTGTTCACCTATGAAATCTCACAGCTTGCCTACACATTTTACAGTGCCAATCGTGGCTTTCTTTCGAATTTCTTCTTAATCTTCATTTTTCTTTTTGTTTGTTTTTTTCTAATTCCTCTTGAACCCTCACATCACGAACGTATGGATCTGTCAAAATTTTATAGCTTCCAGCATCTTCTCCCTTCACATTCCTGTGCTTCCTTCACTTACGTTTTTAAGTACTTTGTAAAGTAGGTTATGTTAATTAACCAGTTATTATGATTTTAAGCTTTACTATCACTTTTTCGTTCCGTTTTTCTCATCGGAATGCAAATTAATTTTTAGTTTACATAAGCTGAGGGTTTTTGAATGTTAATTTCTGACACTCGCATAGCTCTGTTGGAAATCTGCTAACTCTATCTAAAAGTAACTATCTCGGCTCTGCATTCTCTCGCAACTAATACTTTAAACTTAGCGCCAATAAAATATTGAGGCAGCCTCTAGCTTAGTTTAATAACTGTTTGGTCTTAGAATACTTTAACAACGTTTAAAGTTATTTGTTATTGTTTAATTTACATCACCACGAGTAATGCTTTTTGTCTGCAGAATGAGTCGCACTTTTTATAGTAAAAGTTCAAGATTAAATGAAAAAAGGTTGTTTAAAGCCTTTCCAAACCTTTGTCATACTATTTGAGAGACAGTGATAACTCGCTAACCTATCTAAAATTAAGCTTCCAGATCAACTGCAACCTTACAGCTTGAATATAAGAAAAATTCATTTCGATGTTATTACATTTTCATTGCGAGAATTCCCTTTTTTAACATGTATGAAATAGTTTTATTTAACTCCAAGTGTTAATACTGAGGTTCACTGCATCAAAAATCACTAGTTTCTTCTTAAAATGTTAAGTTTTCTAATACCGTATTTACACGCATGTTGACAATTACTTCACACTCTCATATATTTTCTCCTTAAATCTTTTCAATGATTTAGCAACATTTGATGTAAGGTAGAAAAATACAAGGAATGAGTCAATAGATGAGTACATTGTGTAAATAAAAAGCAATGCTAATAAAACAATAATTACAAATGATTTATTTGGAATATAAAAAGCATATGCTTTTAAAATCTGCTAAATTCTGGTTTTAAACACTCTTCTCAGAAAAATCTCTCTAATTTTTCCTTCTCGATTCTCAGGTTTTTAAAATTAGTGCAAAAGAAATCTGGGAGGGGGGAGGAAATGTAAGAATTAGAAAACGTATCTTCAAATTCTAATTTGACGATGTTCTCTGAGGTACGATTCTTGGGTAATTTGCAGACTCATCAGTAAAGCGTACAGCTGTAATTTTAAAACCCGTAACTCATTAAAGAAGAAATAGTGAAAGTAATGTCATATTATAAACCTAATCTTATTTTCTATGCTTTCTTCCCCCTTTTTTTTTTTTTTTTTTTTTCTCTTTTGGTGGAAGATAAGTTCTAAAAATTCCAGACAATTCAGTGACAGCTTTAAAATTAAATTATGAATATTGAAAATACTAGAATTTAAAATCAGTGTTCTTTATTCATTCATTTTATTTATATTTTTCTGCAACGTAAAATACTCCGCATAAGCAAAATATCTTCTAGCATGCAATATTATATTTACATATATATACACAAACATAATGTCCACAATAGTTTTTATCCGGTCTTTATTTTCGCAACCATTTTTTGTAACTTCCAGTTACAAAAAAGGTTTTAAATGATGCAACAGTTCATGATTCGACATTTCTAAATTTAAAGAAACCAGTTTCGTAAAAGTTATGAAACCTAAATTTTATTCATTCCTCTTGTCTCTATACTTATATTTTGGAACACTACAAGATATTCAATATTATTGCAGTTCATATTCAGAGGCTGTGCACAAATTAAAGAGCGAATATGTTTTGCATTTTGTACGCAACTAAAAATAAAATTTCTCCTTAGCAAAATGCTTTTAATGTTAAGAAATTAAGTGATGCACATTTCCATGGAGATTATTGCAAAAATTATTGATATATACAAATTTTTTTCAAAATGGTGATCTGATTTAGAGAATATGACCAGAATTCGTGTTATACAAAACAATGATAGAGTAAATAGCAATATTATTTGCCTTAATTAAAAATTAAAACCATTTGTGTATTAATTAATTTTTTGTACGATTGCCAGATTATGATTCGGAAGTAATAAACTTTCATGAGAATATTAGTAATGAAATTTTAGACTTTAAATTTTATAAATTACTTAAAATAATATTCTTACGACATATTAAATGTCGCAAAATTACAAATTAAAGGCACTAGTAAATTCCGATGGATATCATTGAATGACTTTTAACGGAAAAGAAATCAACCTGGAATTATTATAATTTATTTATTGGCAGATCCTTTAATGCAAAATGAAAATGACGTCAAAATTCCCAAATTTTGAAATTTCAGTCGTACGGAAATCAAACCTTTTGTGCTATAATGGGTTGTTTATAACGTATAAAAAGCGTTTCTAAATGTATAGATTTAAATAGTTGTTTTGAAACCGCAATAATAATAATTAAAGTACTTTAAGGTTATCAATTTTAAAATCAAGTTAAAAAATTGTCTAGTTTATGAATCGTGAATTTTAGTAAAATCTCCTAGTTTCCATTAAACTATTACATTGGGAAACGTTTTGATAATTATATTCTTTTCGATTTATTCTACTGAAAATATTATTCTTTCGAATAAAAGTTAATCAACAATCCAATTGCCCTTCCGCTACGACATGAAACTTTGGAATATAGTTATAGGTCTTCCTAGACAATTTATGGTGGAATTCATAATGTAATTGTATTGGCCTTCACAACTAGAAAGATTTTATAAAAAATACAATCTTCTGGATTAATTTACCGAGACAAACGCTTGTTTTACCGGGAACGCCTCAATTACATGTACCTTTCTTAGGACACATTTTTTATAAAAGAAACAAAGAACCTACAACCAATTATAAATGCTTACTTGAATAAGGGAGTATCTCAAAATTTACGGCAAATTCTGTTTGAGACCTGATAATTTATAAATTGAAATATGCGTTGTATTATTTTAGTAGGTAGTTGCTTTTATATTACTTACAATGTGTAAAATCAATTGGTTAAATGCTATAAAAATTAATAACAGTAAGCTTTACAACATAGATTCAGTTGAAAATAATGCTTTGAAAGCAAAATAAAAAATAAGCTTAAAAAGGCTATGTTATGTTTCGGAAAAATCAAAACAATTTCCTCTTCTCCAGTTTTTTAGAAGAAGTTATTGGAAAAGAAGTAAAAATGAAAGAGATTTTACAAGACAAAAGCTTGTAGAGTCATTAGGATTTGTGAAGTAGGAAGCATGAAAAACGAACAATGTCCTCGCCGGGATCCGAGATTCAAACCTGGACCTCCCGAATACGCGCCGAATATGCTACCCTTACATCACGAAGGCATGAGGAAAGGAGGGAGAAAATATCTTATAAGCTAGCTAATTACATTAAAAAAATCTGAAATGTTTCAGAGTTTAACAATTGCCCAAAAATGTCTTTCTTAAAGTTTAATATGATTTATCAGCAGAAATTATTGCTAGATATAGGACAGGTGGAATAGTAAAATATTTTATAGGCTATTAGATGAATATGCATTTAGAATAACATGGGAACTTTGGTGTATTTAAAAAGTGAACAAAAAATTGCAATGTAATTCTATAAAAATATTTAATGTTTTTACTCAGATAAATTTCGAATTAAATGCATTGTTATTTAAATTAATCAAATAAAAATGTAACAAATAATATTCTTAAGATATACCTCTATTGCTTTTAAATAGTTCGTTAATAAATAGCAGACATATTAAATTAATATCTTAAATTTTCTCGAATGGCAAGAGACTCGAATGAAAAGTGAAACAAATATTAAAGTAACAACGCAAAAGACTACAGCCCTTTTGGACTAAAAAAGGCAAATTTTTACCCTCTGATTTTATTCCCCGTTAGAATAAAATTTCAAGTGTTTTAGTTATTTTAGAATTTTTTAGATGATCTTCGTTTATTTTTGGTTTCCTTTGTATTCATAACGGGCGAATCCATATATTAATCAGACACAAAATAAACCTTTAATCTTATGAACAAAGGAGAATAGACCAGAAGTACATTTTTAAACATTTATGTTTTTGTTCAAGATTCTTGTAAAAAATATCGTAGATGTAAAACAATTTTAGCTAATAAATTCCGCAATGCGAAAGAAAAGCAAACATAATATTTTTCTTATTTTTACAAATGGGTGATTCCATTAAAAGACGATAATAAGATTGCTTTATTATTAGCACATATATTAATTATGAGTTTTAGATTCGTGTAATTTAGTCCACGTTGCGTAATTTAGCTCAGAATTATGTTTATGTTATTTGGGGGTAGTCTCTTCAAGGTTTCAGAACTGAAAAACTGTTCCGTAAAATTCCAATAAAACTGGCTAATCGGAAACTTCTAACACATAAAAAGCTCTAAACCACATTCTTGAGGATAGCTTCAAAACAGAATGTTTAAGTTAGTTGTTTAACATGTGAATCCATATCTGTAATATTGCTATAAAAATGAGTTACTAGAAACTGGAGAAGATGCTACTTTTGAATTAAAAAGTAATTATTTATTAATACATCCTCAGTACTGATTTTGAATTAAAAATTAATTATTTATTAATTCATCCTTGGTACTGATTTTGAATACTGAGAGGTTTTGAAGATTAAAAACAATTATTTCGGAGTTTCAAATTCAGGTAACTATTACGCGACATCAAATTACAACATCTCTGCTATCTGGTAAATGATGCCGCTTCCCCATAGACATAAAAACTTTACTTTACCCTTTATAAGTTTTAGTAAACAGCCAGTTCTCACAGTATTACTTCTGGATGATCCTTAAGGTCTTTGGTTTATCTTTCGAATTAAAATTTTAACTGCTTAGTAAATAGAGAGATTTAAATCAGTAAATTAATAACTTTTATTTTTAATAATATATTAAATTGATATAATTTAAAATATACTTAATTTATAATTTATTCACCTAATACTTTTAAGAAAAGACATTTCTTACGCCATACCTTAGTAGTGTATACCTGAAATGTTGGGGTTTTTAATGTTACTCAGGAATTTTGTAAAATTTAGCGTTAATGCTTCAGCGGATTTTAATTCAATTTCCTTTCATTATTCATTTAAATGAACAGGGTTTGATTCTGAAATTTCCTCTCGAATGCATAACATGATAAACAGTTTAAAAGCACAAAAAAATAAAAGACAGTAAGTAATTTCTCACTTGAAATAAAATTTACATATCATTTCTAATAATGTATTTAAGCATATTAATATACGTTATCATAAGAGCAGTTATACTGTAGTATATGCTTTCAGCAGCAGTTCAGTGATTTCGGCAAACGGCTTTTAATGTCTCCTTAACATTAAAAAAATAACAGGAGCTATTTTATTCCTTTTACTCTTTTAAGGGCTTTTATTAGTAACATTATCCAGTAATTAAGCATACTGAATTATTTTCCCCCAAAATATAAAATATTGAAGTAAGCTAAAAAATCGAAATTCTAGCACAAATGTAAATAAAATAGAATAGAAAATTCGCCTTAAGGCTACAAAGAATATTTATAATTTAAAATAAATTTATAACTTCCTATTATTTGCAAAACACTGATGTATAGAGAAACTAAGCATAATATGGACTTACATTTAGAATACTTGATTAAAAAATAACGAGTCTAACTTCCTGGGCATTAACTGAATGGTTATAAAAGGGAATCATGTGCCTAAATATGTAAATGAAAACAGTTTCAAAATTCTAGGATCAGTTATCTGAGCATCACGGATTTCCCTTTGTTATTCGGAACGAGAAGAAAATTATATTACTGCAAAAAGTAAAGTTCAGAATGTATTTCAACTAACAAGAACTCATTGTTTCAAATAATTTTTCATGTACCACGGATTTCACTATTAGATATATATTGCATTAAAAATGTAATCAAAAGAACTATTAATTTTACTTTTCTGATGTTTAAATTCACGGTAATAAAGAAACATTAAAATATACTACATATCTGCAAAAGTTCTTTTCAGACTGAAATTTCAGTAACTTTCCACTCATTAGAAAAATTAAGGAAGTGGTATCTTCACAATGATGTGTATAAACTGCATATACATTTCATTAAAAATGCGAAACATAAAATCTGTGAAAATTAGAAACACATTTCATATTCAGTAACTTAGAAACTCTACAATGAAACTATTCTAAATAATAAAGAAATGTTATAATTTCGATTTCTTCACTTGCTTTTATTACAGAAACTTTGAATGAAAAAAAAAAAAAAAAAAATAGTTCTCACCGTAAGTTTACCCATTTTCTCTTCCAAACAAATCTTTTGCTTCAAATGAGAACTTTGTCAGATGACAAACTTGATAGTGATCCAACCACTTCACTCTTTTTATAGTTGAACGACACATTGTCAAGGATTAAACACGTGGTTTTGCGATGGTCCAGCATTGTAAACAATGGAAAATGTCCGCCCCTCCCTCCACTCTTCATTAAGCTAAAGATGAAAACGAGGAAGAACACATAGTGTCCCATACGTCCTTCTATTGTGATACCATCCCACTTTCCCTTCCCTTCCCCTGTACAGATGTTGGGGCAATATAGGTATGTACCTTTGATTGATTGTCAGTCCAGGAACAGAACCGTGACATCCTTACTGCTATTACGTAACGAAATATTAATAAGGTAAAAATTTTCTTTTTTAGGACCGAAAAGACATGTATGTTTAGTTTATTATTTGATACAATGTCGTTAGCATTTCATTAAATCACCGTGAGAAACATAAGGATGTTTCGGAAACTTCGATGTCTTCTCTTTGAGCAATATCTGAGAAAGGATGTCACGAATTTGGCATAGGAGCTTTTATACCTTTTTTTAATGTGTATGCTTAACAGTAAGAGTCAGTGAGCAATCCGAGTTAACAATAACAGAAGAAGATTGGATCATCTATAATTGTACAATTTCTACTGCGTAAATTTTTCAAAAACATATTTTGAACATATTTAGTTTCGGTATCATTGTTCTTTCGAGGATTAGCTTGAAAGTTGTAAGAAATGCTCAGTAATGTATCGTATTGTTGTATCTGTAATCTCATCATAAATTGATATGCTACCTAAAATATCATGTTATCTCCAAGTGACGAATTACTTAAAGTTGCTGTTCTACAAATTTCTATTTATCCGTAATATAAATTTGGATAAAATTCTAACTTCACACAAGGTATCTCTCTGTCTTTTTAAATGCGTATGTATACTGTATATACATTGCGGTACTGTGCCTTCTGGCTGATTCATCTTCTTTTCTTTCTTTATATTCACACGAAAGTAAAATGAGAAGAAAGAAAAATTTTTAAAAATATGAAAGGTTTCAGATTTTAAATTACGTCCAAAAGGGCTTTGATTCTATTGTTAAAGTGATTGCCACGATTCTATTGTTAAAGTGATTCTATTGTTAAAGTTTCGCCAGAACAATTAAAGAGTTGACTTTCTTTGGGAGTATAAACTAGATCCAAACTTTTAACAGACGTACAATGAATTATTGCTCTGCCTAAAATTACTACAGAGACTTGAAAAAATTAAAATAACTCCTTTTTTTTATTTAAATCAGAACTTGAACATAAAATGAACATCTAGTGCTCACATAATCAGCCAACACTTGTGGCGATGAAACGTAGTGTAACAGGTGACAGGTGACAGGTGAGAGCAGGATCCGGACACACGGGCGGCTTTCACTGACTATTCGGGTATCGTCCGAATCCCGCAACTATCCAGAAAAAGAATATTGCAAACAGAGGCAGATGGAGGAAAACAGGGGTATTGCGGTTTCCTACAATAACAGCGCTTATTATACAATATAAAGATACTTACATCAAAAAGTGCTGTTGCCATGTAGAATTACCACAATAGTAGTACATCGTATTACATTATACAGTGCACTATTATAATAGTCGATTCATGGACGATAAATTAATACGTATAATAATAAAATTTTCTGAACTGTACAGACATTGCAGAGCGGTATCAATGCGCATTGCTAAATATATTATACAATACCTATAGCTATATATATTATACATTAATAATACATGCATACAATACATTAATATACAGATATCATAAAAGGTGAATTCGATATATTGATACCCTATACATTAATAGTGCACTCGGTTTAAGCCATAGAATAAAAAAAAAAAGTACCTAAACTCTACAGACATTTTGGAGAGCAATACCAATGCGCATTACGCAACTTATAGCTATATACATTATACATTAATAACACACACACACACGTCCATTACATTGATACATACATAACATGAAACGTGCATTCGATATATCAATATAATTACATAATACATTATACTTTAATAGTACATTCGATATATTAATACATACTATAATAAAATTTGCTAAACTTTACAGGCATATTGCAAAGCTGTACCAATGCACATTACGCAGCTTATAACTATATACATAAATAATACAGGCACACATACATTACATTAAAACATACGTTACATAAGAGGTGCATTCAATATATTAATAGGTGCACTGGATATATTAGTGCTTGCAATAATAAAAATTTTCTATATTCTACACACATATACAAGTGAAAATTGTACAACTATATATCGTTGTACATTATACAATAATAGTACATGCATACATACATTACATTAATATATACATAAGATAAAATGTGCATTTCCCTATTCGATTAGATTGAGCATTAAAGTTATGCATTGACATTCATTAACTGGTATAAAGATATTAATATCCATGAAGGATTAGGAGCACTATGGCTAGATGGGACCGTGTTCCGCACTGCAGGAGTTCAGTGCCTAGCGCTTCGAGTTTTTGCATCATTAATCGTATTTTCTTCTGTATTAAAGGTTGCTTGACGATGAATCTTTTGTAGGCGACTGTATTTGTAGTTGACAGAGCGTGGTGAATGTAATCTAGTACCCAAGACTACATAATTTAAATCTAACACTAAGTTGGCTCGGAATTTCAACTGGCGTAATAATTTAATATGTCGGTAGCTATAACACAAAACCGAATAATTTCAGTCTTATCAGAGCTGGAGAAATCTAGTAACGTGGCCTCTAGATGCAGAAACACATTCTGTCTTACAACCCCAAAACCTCAGCTTAAATACTCTCTAAACTGGTAAACTCTCTAACTAAACTCTCTCTGGTAAACAAGCGATTAGGGAAGTGAGGCCTTGTTAAACAAGGATATGTACATATCCTAGTAGTGGTAAGTATAACAGGCTGTCACTTTCCTAATCATTTGTTTACCGATTTAAGATAATAAAACTACCCCTTCTTATTTTAGATGATTCCTTTTCATAAAGTTGGATGTATTGGCCATTGTCTTGGAAAACGTAATGCTACATTTCTAAAAACGTGAAATGTGCTTAATATATGAAATATGCATAGAATTATATAAAATGTGATTAATTTTTTAACAGTTTAATGTATTCTTTAATTAGGTCCTTGAGTATTGTAATCTATGTTCTGTATGCAATATAGATTATCCAGCTTTTCTTATAATTTGCACTGTATAACTGTAGTATTATGTGAAATTTATGGATGCTGAGCTTCGAACATGGAACTTACAATAGTTTTGTGCAGTAAAAAATGGTAAGTAATATGGGAATAAAATGTCAGTAATTCGTTGTAATAGTTTGCGTATGAAAAATATAAACTTCTATTTTCGGAAAAAATACGAGAAATGTATCAAATCATGTAATAAATCTGGTTGGTCTTCAAGTTCGACTGAAGTGATATAACTTCGGATATAACTTTGTAAGGATCTTAAGTTTTAGTAACGTTTATTTTATTTTAAATCTTTACTATCACTTCTTATTTTCTACTTCCGGCCAGAATTAAAAGCTTTAACTTATTTATGCAAATTTGTCTGGAGAACGCCAAGTACTTAAGTTGTGGCTTTTTGCCAAGCAAGAGAGGAAGGAATTAGTAGAAGCAGGCCGCTTGCCTTAGCAGTTTTACTCGGTTGCTGGTTGCCTTCCAGGCCAGAGGTTTAATCCTCTAATAATTTTAAACGTATTGTAGTGTTACAGTTCTCTGTACTACATACGGCTTTCTGTTAATATACGGCCAATCTTCTCGGAGGCCCTTGTTTATTACTCCCCAAAGTTAAGTTAGAGTTTAGTTAATATTTTTATATTCTTACGTTCAGACCACAAGTGGTTGGTCTCTGTATTCCGAAGTACGGAAATCATTGTAAAGAGTGAGAAAAATAAAGGGTTTCGTATACCCTTCCTGTGTATCCTGTCTACTTCCCACATTTATTGAACATAGCTTTAGTAAGCTCCCTGTTCCGAGTCAGGTCCTTGAATGTTCCCAAAGCAAAGTAAGACGGAAACATGAACCTGATAGTGGCGCCCGACGAAGAAGAATAACCATGGCCGAGTTTCAAGAAGAACCTGTGCTGCCTGCAGAAGCGGCTCAGAATCCAGAAATGCCAGCTGCCGCCCTGGAAGGATTTGGTTACATCGTCCCAGACCATGCGCGCAGCGATGAAACCAGAAGCAACATTTAATGGAAACTCACCGGTTACCAGTTTTTTGGAAAAATTGGATGACCACTTCATGCTCTACCCCGTGCATGAGTTCCAGAAACTCACCTTAGCTACCAGCGCTTTGAGGGGCCAAGCGCTTAATTGGTTCAAATGCATAGGCAGAAGTCCCTGTTCGGGCGCCACTATCAGGTTCTGGAATGTTCCCAAAGCAAGTAAGCGGAACACTGACCTGATACTTTACATAAAATTCTAAATTTCCAATGGGAATTCATATTTTGAAAAAGTTTCTATTTTTGATACCGTTTCATGCACTAAGTCTTCTAGCTCTTATGAAATATTGTTATCACAATTTTCATGAAAGATGAAAATATTTGATTTTTTTCTTTGAAAGGTTTACCATCATTCAGTAAGCACCTGCAATTAAACTCGTATGGCACTCTCTAATTAATGTGAAATGATATATATTCTTTGAAAAAGATGGGGCTATGTTCTTAGAATCTACGAAATAGTGAAATGTTTGATATGAAACGATAAAATCTTGCATAAAGTTCGATATATGTTTCACTCTCATTATTGAAGATCTCTTCCTAAATTCTAAAATAGTGATGTTTTTTACTCTTATTATTTTCAAAATTTGGTACTCATGAATTAAATAACTGTATAGATGTACTAAACTTTATCGAAAATTCAAATATTTTATTAATCGTTTGGTTTTATTTAAATGGTTTAGAAGTAAATGAGCGGTATGTTAGGTAGTTTCTTTCAGAAAAGTATCCGTGTTTGAAAACTCTGTAGATAATTTGCCTTACCGAAATTGTTCTAAATTTTTAAAAGTATATGGGTGATATGATGCTATGTTATCATCTAGAGTGTATTTTCTCTTTGCAAATAGTGTATAGAGTTA